CGTAACTTAGCTTTCGTAAGATGCTACTTTTATATGACTTTTATTTAGGCAAAGTTAGTAGCCATTTGTATTGGTATTGCAGTTTGGTAGTATAGGGTGATTCTAAATAATACTGAGCCCTTGTTGTGTCTGTTAATTTGTGTATGTGCCTGTATGTGTACATTTGTGTTTATTTATCCACCTGTGAACGACCTCCAGTTTGCATCTGCCTCTCATATGATCGCGCTTTTGCTGCTATATTTATGTGCATGTAGGCCCATGTGTGGGCGTCCCATCACTCCGTTTCCGCTCCTGCATTACTGAGAGGGATTCCCTGCCATTAAATTAAAAATCCCAACACCCCCGCTGCACCATGCCTTTACTCACATTCAGTCAACAACTGATACCATGTCCCGGAATTGCCACTTCTCAGTCTGCCTGTAAACTGGCAAATCTGGCAGACTGTGGTGGAGGGTGATTGATTGGCTCCTGTGCAGGTTGGAAAAGCCTTGTGCACATGAACACATTCAAGGTGAATGACTCAGTGATGTAGTATCTCAGAGATAGGGTGGGACCTGACGACCCTTACCTGTGTGAGTGTGTGTCAGGATGTGTGCACATACTCATACAGCCAAGGACTCCAGTGTAGGGTATTGTATAGCATAGGGTCTTCACCTACAGATTTATATGTGTGAGTGCCTGTGTCACATTCTCTAATGTGTGCTATTACGGTTTGCCTTGTCCTGGATACGAGGTGAAAGCCTGGATCATTATCGGCAGAGAATGGATTAAAATGTATATACTTGTGTATGTGTGCATGTCCTTGTGCATATCATTTTCAGCTTGTACGTGTATGTGGCAGATCAGAAATAAGAGGCCTGTGTGTGGGCACACGATGGCAGGCATTTCTGTAAACAGTGTGACTCAGCCACAGAGTGACTTATGAAACTGAAACATAATGCTGTGAAAGAGAGAATTTCACCTCTACAATTTGATCTCCATGTGTGCATGTGTGTGCATGTGTTGGTATGTGGGTGTGTGTGTCTTTATGGGCATTTGTGGATGTACTCAGCATAAGTGTGCGACCAGCACTGATTGTCTCAGTGTTATCTGCATCTACTAACAACTTCAGTGCTGATAAAGAAAAGGGCCATGTTCTCAAAGACGGGAAGTCTCCTTTGAATATCAAAGAGCAAGAAAACAAAGATTTCCTGCATACAAAGTGCTATCTGCCGCACACTTAACTGGTTGATTTCCTCCGCCTCTGCAGGCTTTCTTCACTTCATTTTAACAGAGAGAAAGGACAACAGGATAACCGCATTTTTTTTTCCATTTCAGGTCTAAATGTTCATTATATATTTAGCAGGCCATTAGGATGTTTGTGGGAGTGATCAGGTTTATGATGCTGGGCTGCTGCAGCCTGTGCGGAGATGCTACATTCTGTATGTTTTTAGTTACCTCAGTCAGTCCGGCGGTGAATGCTGTAACCTATTTACCTGGTATCTGCACAGGATGGCAGCCACATTCACGCCTAAGCAGATTAATGAGGCATGTCAGGCCTGCAACTGACAGGGGCATGTAGACTGGGAATGCCATTTCACCAAGTTATTGGCAGCAACTCATCAGGTGTACACGAGACCTGCTGCATGTGTGAGGATTATGTCCTGAAACACACTTAACTCCATTTCCTTTACCAAACTCTCCCAACCATCTGGGCTCTGGTCCTCAGCTGTGTTCTTGTTGAACTTTGGAGCCGAGGCACCCAGCATCTGCTCATATCGTTGTAAGAGGGCTGCCATCCAAGCCGGTACCCCATCGTGGCAACCAGCTTCACTGCAGCTGTCACGGTAAACAAGCACCAAGCCCCCTGGTTCCTTGCCGTTATTGCTGCAGGGCAACGGGAGTAAAAAAGACAGATGATGCTCAAATGCTTCCTACTTCAGCGGGAGCCGTCAAGCCACTCCAGTCAGAGCTGGACTTGACAGTGCAGCCGCTGCAGATCTTTGGTTGTTCGTTACGCATAGCCGCGCTGCTCCCTCTTTTTCCTCCTCCATCTCCCTGCCCTCCCTCACTCCCTCCCTCCCTCCTCGCTCCTTCTCCTCAGCTGAGCTAAGCCTGGCTCCCCTATGACCGCAGGGGGGTATCCAGCGCCGTACCGATGTGTGTGTGTGTGTGTGTGTGTGTGTGTGTGTGTGTGTGCGTGTGTGTGTGTGTGTGCGTGTGTGTGCGTGCGTGTGTGTGTGCGTGTGTGTGCGCGCGGGGGAGGAGGGAGAGCGCCAGGGGAAGAAAAGATGGCTCAGAGCTCTGGTCATGTGCTCTGTTGTTGTTGCTGTTTCCTCAAGTAGGGATCCTGCCTGTCTTCTCAGGAGCAGAATTACGCATTTGCTTACTGTACTGCTGAGAGCCCAAGAGCATCACCTACCAGAGTGCAGAAATACTGTGTGTGCCATGGTTTAAGAAACCACTGAGTTGCTGGGTAATGACTACTGACCCATCATCTATACAGCTATTCTGAGAGCTATGAACAACTCTGACTAATCACAGCATGATATAGACATCAAAGCTTTGATGTAATCTCATAAGAGGCCCTCACACAGTAAATAATACACATACAGCCACAAAGGTACACAATCTGTACTTAATGTTTCTGGCCCGTTGTTGTGTGAAGGCTGGAGGGCTTCCCAATGGTAGTTTGTAGTGCTGCAGTACAGAGAACTCTTGAGCCATATTGTGATTCATGTGGGGAGAGAGAGTGACTGCTAATCTACTAATTGGCCAAACGAGGCTGAGAGATGGCGAGAGCAGAGACTGACAAAGTGACAGAAAGGGAGAGAAACAGAGGAAGAGAGGTACAGGCATTGTGTATGTGTCTCTACTCATTATACTGTATGTTGCTGGAGGCCTGATGTATGTGGGTGTGCATATATGTTCATGTATAGTTTGTGTTCGCAGGGCAGATTTTTTAACCCACATGAAGAAGAAATCTGGGACACTCTCTCCCACCCGGGCAGAAAATGAGACATTTCTCTGTCTAACTGATTTCAGCCAATAAGTAACCATCTCATACCGCAATCCACAGTGCCAAAAATCGAACACGCTTGACTGTTCTTTCTGAGGTCACACAGAGTTCATTTCTAATAGTGCTGCTTGAATAGAAATATGTCCCTCCCCTCTGAAAATGGCAAACCCTGATGCAAAGTAGTGTCTTTACTTCTACAGTTGGGGGCGTCCATCAGCTGATCCAAACCCCTTTCTTTTACTGAAATGCCTCATTCACACTCACATAGGATCGCACAGTTTCTCACAGTGTCATAGAAAAACGGTGGATTAGCAGCGGAGCAGCGAGTACTAACAGCTGCTGTTAGTGCCCTTGAACACTTTTAAAGCACTTAGAGTGTCAACACAATAATTGGCTGTGTACACAACATTTACTGCAATATTTTTGCCTTTGAATGGTGTATTTCACTTTCAAAGATAACATTATATTTCAAAAACAGCTTCACTTCAGTTTCAAAGGAAGAAATATTTTCAATCTAAACAATGTTACATTTTAATGTCAGGTCCTTAACATAAATAAGCAAAGACATGTTTGTCTCACCATTTTACAACGGTTGACCACTGAAAGACTGATAAAAGAATATCAGTTTCTTCACTGAGACACCCTTATGGACCATAATGCAAAAAAAGAAATGTTCACTATTTTAATGATCTTGTTACATGTAAAACTGGAGCCAAGTTTGGTTGACATCAGATTCATTTTACCAGTTTCAGTTAACTTGGAAATATGTCCGACAAATATTTAATATTAATGGGGGCACTCCAGCCATTCCAGCAGCAGTATTGCATACCCATAAAATTGTGTGACATAATAAAATGATACCCTGACTTTTTGACCCAAGTACAGGTTAAGCTCCAAAAGAAAATCAATAGCATCTTTCAACTAGATCCAACTTTATTATTCTGGTGAATGGACATGTCTTCTGACAGTTTTGTATAAAAGGTTTTCCCTGTAATACCAGCAGAGCTACAGATGACATTGTACATCTGGTTTTTCAGGCTGTGTAGCACTCCCCTTGACTAGGAATATGGCATTGACACATAAAATCAGTGGAGTGTCACTTTAAAGTAAATTTACCCAGTTAATGTAAAAACCAAACAGCTGTTTATACATGCAGCGACTTCATGTACCTTTTGTTGTGATGTGGAGTTGCATAGGAAAACTTATAGAAGAAATACACAAAGCGAGTGGAGTGAAACTGGATCAAACAAAACGGGAAATAATACATGTAATAGGAAAAATTCCACAAAAAGACCACAAACTGATGATAAAGAAAGATGTAACACTGTTCTACTCACTGGTCTTATGAACAGCGCCTAGTTTCGTTAACTTACTATCTGTGTAATATGTCTACTGTGTAAATAGACTATAACATTATGTGTGGTCTCACTTTTACTGCCCCTTTAACCCTCTTTAGCTTTCACCGAAACTATGATAATTCACATTAAACCGTCTTCAAGTCATAAAAATAAAATGATTTATTAAACCAAAATTAGGTCTGAATAAGAAAATTTAAAATATATATATCAATGACTGCACGATTATAATATGGTTGTGGCCTAAGCACGTTGTATAGGAAAATCTCAGTAAAAGCAAACAAATACAGTCAAATTGTTCACCCTCTCCCCTCTATTGGAAGGTATAGATTCAAATTGAAGTTAACACTGTTATTCAACACAAAACCATGAGTTGAAGCACATAAAACACTCTATCCTTTAATTACTCTGTTACTACTTTAATTATTCTTAACTCCTTTACCTTTACTCTTTTAGTAATTCTAAAATACCTTCAACTACATATTGAACCTTAAAACATTCAAACCATAAAACAACACATTCAATAATTGTGGGCCCACACTATATAAAAAGAAATGACAAAATGCGTGGAGTGTATTAAATTAAACCTCCCGATGCAAGCCTGTAAGTGGCGGGTGTGCGTTGGGCCACGTTAAAGATGGCGGCCGATGACTATGTCCGCGCTTTTTGACAGGGTTACTCACCCCAGTCCAGTCTACCTCTGTCCTGTAAGAAACCGGGCGGTATGCTCCTGTCACCAGTCCTTGGCCGTGGATGGTCTCTCCTCCCTCGTAGCCAGAGGTGCAGCTGGGTTTTACCTGGTCACCCAGTGCACTATCTGGTCTCCTCTGGCTCGTCGTCGGGATGATGATATCCACCGAGGTGCTAGCGAGGGTTAGCGCTCGAGCTGAATAAGTCCGAAGTCCGTGCGCGCTAGCCTAGCGTGCTCGTAACTCAGACGAAACACACTTATTTCAACACGCTAAAAACGCGGTAGTTAATCAAAATGTCACTGACTTTAACTCACTGAGCTTCGTTATGTCCATACTACACTCTGTGACGCACAATGACAACGATAACACCTCGTTAGCCTTTCTTCTCCGCTGTCTTGCCGAGCAGTGACGAAGCAGCGACATCTGATCAACTGCTCTCACACATCTTTGCGCCCCACAGCTTGCTGTTCTCCCGCCCCCTGACCAATCAGTAACCAAGGAACTTGACGTTGCTTTATAAATGACCAATAGGAAGTTAGGATACAACATAGCAATATAGTACGTGAGAATAAAAGAAACAGGTTAGATTTTCTCACTCTCTTCACCACGTGAAGGCGACTGTACCTTACGGACAAACTTTTATGTTGCATTCAACGTTATAATTGACACTACTCCCCATGTAAATGGTTACTCACATTTAAGCACTTTATAACATATTATAGGATGTTACGTAACTATACAAATGGAAAATAAAGGACAATATCCTAGGGTTTATGAACAAAATCACCCAGGGGGTTACAATGACAATCTTTGCCAAAGAAGAAACTGAAATTAGGACATCTGAGGTGTGAATACTGTATTAACTGTACAAATGAAGCAAGGTGGCCCTGATTTGTAGTTGGCACACCCTTCCCGTGCGCAAGCAAAGAGGGTCAATTTCTGGAATGAAGTCTGTCCCTCGTCTCCTGCCCTTGCAATGAGCTGATGCGACTGGATGGAGTTCAGAGGGAAGGGTAATATTTGAGAGCCCAACAGAGACAGAGTTGAGCTGATGTTTCTGAATCACTGGGTCAGTGGGTCAGAGACATCACTGGACATCCAGAGAGCCATCAACTCTCTGTGTTTCTCAGAGCTCCAGAGAAATTGCTCACGATTGCCAAATGCAGCTGTGGAAAACGTGATTGGCTCAGCAACACACTCACACACACACACACACACACACACACACACACACACACACACACACACACACACACACATATATACAGACACACAGAGTGCTGATACAGGAGTGAGCCCCTCAGAGACTTGCACACATAGAGCACAGACCCTCTGATACAGAGAGCAGGCACCTAGAGACTACAGATGTGTTTAAACTCCATTACCAGTACAGTCTTTCTAATTAAACCAATGTTTTAATTAGGATTTGGACAGCCAGGGAAGAGGAGGGATAATAACATTCATTTATCCAACAGAGAACATGTATTTCAGATGACTGGATGGATGGTTTTGTGTATGATCATCCACTTACTTTGGATAGGCCATTATTAAGCAGTGTGCAGGTGTCATTTACATGTAGAGGAAGAAAGGAGAAAAAGACTAAATAGCGATTAGACTCCATCAATGGAGAAAGCTTAGACTCATGTCATTATGGAAACTCTCAGTTGAATCTCCTAGACATCCTGGAGGTCATGGTGATGATGGAGGAGTGGTGAGTTGTAAAATAGAGAGACTGTCTGACTGCTGTAAAAATGACCTTATAGGTCATTTGTGCAAGCAGCTTATTATGGCCCATGGTTATGTTTTGTTGTTAAGCGACAGACAGCATCAGTCATTTCAGCAAAAGCCCCAAAATGACATTTACATTCAATTGTCACATCATAAAAACAACAGCGATTTTTAACAGTTTATCTCTGGCATCTCCTGCTGCCATAGGGCTATTTCAGGAAATAATCCGATGTGTCGCATCAGAGGGCACGGACAAACAACGTATATGCACTTGTTGAGAATAGTTAGTGTTAAAGACAAAATGACAGAATTTCAGTCATATTTAAAGAACGGTATTCAAGGACTGATGTGCTCAAGGAATGCAGCCAGAAACATCATTAATCAGATGTGGTGATTTCACAGATGTGAATAATGAACAAATCAGAACACAATAATAAGTGTATTGCACTTTGTTGAAAGTAATCTCCCCTCTGTTTTTCTGTAGTTTAATGAATTGTTACATTGTGTTTTTTTTTTGTTTTTTTTAAATATATGCAATTTTAGGAAAACCTCTAATGAATTTTAATACATTTGGGGTTACCTGCTAGATTTCATGGAAAAACTAATTTGTTGTGTTTATTGTTGTTCATATATTTATCTTAATAAGAAATATTTTGGGTATTTGCTGTTCTTTTTTGGGAGGAGTGTTAAACATTGTTAAAAATAAAAGGGAAAAAAGAAGAGGGAATGTAGGGATTTTGACACTGTGGGAAAAGACATGTCACAGAGAGGATTAGAACAGAGAGACACAACAGAAATTCACTCAGAGGAATAAAGGCTGTTCAGAAAAGGAAGCTTTTATCTAGCTTCCTTTCTGAACAGGCTTCATGGATGTTAGGAGTGGTAGATTAGTGGCAGCAAGGCTCCTTGTCTGATTTGATTGAAGATTTGAGTTAAATAGAAAGAGTAAAAATTGACATTTCTTCTCTCTCTCTGTTTGTCTTCCTCTCTCCCTTCCTTTACCCTGCTCTCAGCGGCAGATGGCGTGCCAGTCCAGAAGGATGGGGAGCAGGTAAGTCCTCAGCGATGCCTCTGGCTCACCACTCTTGTTGACTTCCTCTGACAGTGGACAGTTGCCGCTCCACCTGAGGAACCAACATGGCCGCTGATTGAAAAGCAGTTACACAGGCAGCTACACGATGAGCTGCTGCTTTTAGAAGCAGCTCACCCCACTAGCTCTCTGTAACTCAAGGTGCTTATGCTAGTAGATTAGTAGAGGAGCACACATCATGTCAATGTCAATCGCTTACCTTCCACTACACTACCCCAAGCCATGATGGGGTGGTGTTGCTGGAAGACTGAACAATTGCTGGTTTGGTTGGCTCATTGCTGTTGCTATTACGTCTGTTGCTTGATGTTCATGGACCGTGCTGGTTCAAAGCAAAACAACAGAGGCATCACTCCCTCTTTCTCCAACTTCTTACACACCATTATATATCCTCTTCTGTTCTCCTTCTCCTCTCCTCTCCTCTCCTCTCCTTTCCTTCTCCTCTCCTGCTGCTATACTGATCCCATACTCTAAAACTGATCCCTCTGAGACAGGACACAGGACAGGGAACCATTTTGGACTAAAACGTAGAGAACTCTACTTTTCCACCAAATGCACTGTGGACTGATTCAATCATTTATTTATGCATTGTGCCCTAGGATGCCCTTCGGTCCTACGGAGAGGAAAAAAGAAAACAGCAACACACACACATCAGTATTGTCAGGGCTATCGGAAGGAACATAAGAAAAGCTGCTTGAGGGGGCCCAGCTCTACCAGTCAAGTGTGTAAAATTTCTCATCACACCCACTCCTGTGGAGGGAGAGGAAGAAAACAAGTGAGAGAGAGATGAGCGAAGAGGCAGAGAGGGAGGAAGTGGGAGCAAAGAATAGAATTCCTTGAAAAAGAAGGAGTGAAAAAAAAGAACGGAAGGAGGCTGATATTGATTAAGCTGAGTTATCTGTATACATGCAGCATGTAGCTGATCGAGATAGTGAACACTGCCCTGGTAGTCTCTTTCCCTCATTATGTCATTCAGCATTAAATTACCTACTCTTTACATTTTACAGTCTGTTGACGGGTGGAATGAAGTATTAAACACAATTAAGTACTAATGTATTTACACTTAATGCTCCTTCGTACTTCTTATAATTCAGAGAGAAATATTTCACTTTTTACTCCTGCTACATTTATTTGAGAATATTAGTTACTCTTCAGATTGAGATTTTACATAAAAAGTAAAAATTCAGCATAAAAATATGGTTCATTAGAGATCAAATTACAGAACAATATATAAAGTATTTAAAATGAGCTCTGTGGCAGCTACAATGTTAAAATGCTGCCTACACGTAACAGCACTGGTAACAATACAAAAATTACATAATAAATATAATAATATAACATCATGAGTACTTTTGCTTTTAATACTTGAAGTACATTTTCCTGATAATACTCAAATTTTGAATGCAGGACTTTCACTCGAAGCAAAGTATATTTTACATTGTGGTACCTATTTAAGGGAATAGTTTGAGATTTTTGGAAATGCTCTTATTTGCTGAGTTTGCTGAGAAGATCGACACCACTCTCATGTCTATATATGGTAATATGAAGGTACAACCACCAGCTGGTTAGCTTAACTTAGCATAAAGATTGGATACGTGGAAACGGCGAGCCCAGCTCTATCCGAAGTTAACAAAATCCACCGACCAGCACCTCTGAAACTCAGTAATTATCATGGTGTTTCTTCTTTATTCTGCACAAAAAAACGGTGGAAAAAAGTTTAAAAACTTCATGTTTTTGTTTTTTATGGGGTTTATATGCCAAAGTCCAGACTATTTCGGGGTCGGACGCAGAAACTGTCTGTCTGCTGGTTGCCTGGCAAACTAACAGTGATGATAAGACTCCAGTTAGAAGGCTTTTGTATGGATTAAACAAATGAGATGTATATATAATGTGCTAATAACTTTTGACGTGCTGGTAAGTGGGTTTTCTTTGCTTTGGACAGAGCCAAGCTAGCTGTTTCCCCTTGTTTCCAGTCTTTATGCTAAAATAAGATAAGCTAAGCTAACCAGCTGCTAGTTGTGGCTTCATATGCACAGTACCGACATGAGAGTGGCAACTTGCAAATGAGCACAAAATGTCAAACTGAGCACATGTTCCACCTCTGTAGTTTACATTGCAGAGATTCAAATATATGGAGATATGGGCGCCTTTGAGACAGAGTTTAAACTAATTTGAGTGAAGAAAATATAGTTTTAGAGAAACGATATAATAAATGTTGGGGGCGAGTGTTATATTTCCATCAAAGTTTATTCACTCATTTATTTTTGCTCAGCCTCATCTGTCTGTTTATATGGACAGGAAGGTGAAAACATTTCAGCACAGGCACTAACCCAACAATGTCCCCGGTCTAGTTACTGTCAGTCCAGCTGATAGAGAGAAGTGTGTGTGGCAGAGGCTGCTGCTTATCTGCTCTGTCCCCAGCATCTGCCTTCAAATACACACACACACACACACACACACACACACACACACACACACAAAGACACACACACACAGACAGACATACACATAAACACACACACTGCCCACAGTCCCTTGTCTGTCTGTTGCATCAGATACTATTCAACACAGCGCTGACATCTCCCTCTCTCTCTCTCTCTCTCTCTCTCTCTCTCTCACACACACACACACACACACACGATTTTTCCGCTGGCTTTCAGTGTTTTTGGCAGCACATGTAACCAGAGAAGACGAGTCATTCATCTGTAGCGTATTCACTCTGCTATACATAACTAAGCAAATATAAACTGATCCCTGTTTAATCCCCTCCCTTCTCCCTGTCATTCTGGTCCTTGACTCTTGCTTTTCCTCGTTCCTGGAAAATCCTGTGTATCTGTCTCTTGTTTTTTTCCCCCCTCTCCTTTCTCTTTATTTCTTTATCTTCCTCTGCATGTCCAACGTGCAACCCACCAACCCCCCCCCACCCCTCCACCCCCACCCCCGGCCCCTCCTCTCTTTGTGCCTACTCCCATCTCCCCTTCCATGCATGTCAATGTTCTCTGTCCTGTCACTCTCTTACTCTCTCCCCATCCCTCTCTCCTCCTACTTCTCTCCCTTAGCATGGACGTTCAGAATTTTCATGGGAAGGAATCAATGTAAGTGTTGTGACACCATTCCTTCATCTACTACTTTTCTTTCTCTTTCTGTTTGTTTCTTTCACCTGGTTTGATTTAACTCACCCTTTAGCAATCAGCTCTCTCTTTCCCTTCACAACCTCCCTCCACCTTGGCTTTACACTCGATCTCTTTCGGTTTTATCGTAGTGGTGCACGGTAGTGAGCACAATCAGAATCACTTATTGGGACAGAATTTTAAAACGAACACAGTAAGTTGGAATCAGGATTTGGGTAATGCAGATTTTTATCTTTTGTAATAACTCAACATCTCCATCACTTCTCCTCTCCACTCACCCCTCTTTAACACGCACCGTCTCGATGTCTTCGTGTGCTCTGTCACACCTGCCATACTATCCTTTTCTCCACACTTTTTCCCCTCCTCCATTCCTTTCTCTTCTCTTCCCCTAGCTGTCTATGGAAGACACCACATCAATTCTGCCGAGGCTCAAGAGGAACTCAAATGCCTATGGCATCGGGGCACTGGCTAAGTCTTCACTGTCAGGTGTGTCAGGTGTGTGTCTGTGCTGTAACTGGTAAACTGACCCCATGTTGGCTCCGTCCTCGGTGGGCGCTAGAGTCAGCATGGTACCCGAAACGGGTTCCCCTGAATCACTTCCTCTTCACACTGCGATAACATTTGTCAATGGCTCCTCTTGAGTCATTGATGGAATTAATTCAGCCTGAATAACACAACACACACAATGCATCATCATACAGCTTGTTTCTCTAAGAAAAGGTGAGTGGTGAGCGGGAAGTGTAGTTTCTTTACATGTTAAGTGGTTGTGAAATTGTGGTGTAATGAACAAGTATTACTATGGATGTTTTGAACTGTGTAAAGTGCTGTGTTAAACAGAATTAAGTACAGTGTAGTGTTTCCTTTTAGTGCAGTGTCTTTGGTTTAATCCAGCTGTTTTGTGCAGTGCAGTTTATTTGAGTGCAGTGAAATGTATTGCAGTGCAGTGTAATGAAGTGCAGTTGGTGCACTGTGTGGTGTGGTAGTGATTTGTCCTATAATTTATTCCTATAATTTATTCATAAATCTCATCTCCATGCGCCACCATCAGAGAGAATCAAAGAACCAGGGATTTACAGTATGTGTCATCATATGATGATCACATGAAATATGGAGCGTAGCCATTATGCAGAGACATCAGCTGGTATTTGCTTGGTAGCAGGAAATGAATTTCTTCTTTAAAAAGAAAAAAGTATGAACTACAGTGATTGAATGAGTTAAGTTCTCAGACAGACGGCGAGGAGAAAGAGAGCAGTTTTCTGCTTACCCAGCTCAGATTAACAGAGGTGTGAAAGCTATCATGTCAACACGGCAACCTCTCATTACTCATGCCACACAGCCACCTCACCCCAATTAACCTACCCCATCCCATGATGCACCCTTGTCAGACAAGACACATCCATTGCGTCCACTCCTCCATGTAGTGTGAACAGGCGGGGGCTTAGTGTCATTAAACATGTGAATGCCACCTCCACAATCCTTGTCATTTAGCTAATCCATGTTCATGAAGACCCTCATTAAAAGAACAGGCTTTTGAATAGTAGGATTCGACTGATAATGTTTTTTATTTATACAGATTTGTCTTTATTTGAGGCTGCCAATAGACAATATTTCATGCAAATATTCAATATATTTACATTTCTACAAAATGGGAGAGTAAAATTCTTATTTGAAAAACTGTTGCTGATAACACTTAATTATTATCATACACATCTATGCACACGTGTGATTAATTATTAATAATACAATAACAATAAAATGACCTGCATCATAGAGGTCAACACTCACTTCCTATTATATCAGCCATTTAACTCAGACCCGTTCATCAGTCCAACCCTACTGGATGTCCATGTTTTCATTGGTCATCACAGCTCCCATGACCAAAATGTAATATAGACTTGATAATAACATCTATGATATTTCTCTCCCTCCCTTTTCTTTCTCCTCAAAACCTACTCCTTCACGTTCTTCTCCATTTTCCCTCAAACTCGTCCATTCACCCTTGTATCAACCTTTAATCTTTCACGTCCTCTAATCCTTCCCCTCACCACACGTGTCCTTCCTCCCTCTGCTCCCTCCTCTGTCCCACTTCTTTCTACACTTCCAGGGGTGACCCGCACCATGAAGGAAAGAGTAACCAAGCCCACAGCCATGGCTCAGGGTCGTGTCGCCCATATGATCGAATGGCAAAACTGGGGTATGCAGACGGTGGGTGCGGGGGGCATCCCCCAGTCCCGCATCACCACTCAGGAGCGGGAAAAGGAGCGGCGGCTGGAAAACGATGCGTACAGTGACCTCAGCGATGGAGAGAAGGAGGCCCGTTTCGCTGCAGGTTTGGAAACACACACGCACGTACACACACACGCGCGCGCGCGGCAGGCACCCCACAGAGCGTGTTGACCTTCATCAGCAGAATTATGTGCTCACCACCTCACTGTGTGGGATTTACGCCAGTTATTCAGCCAATTAAACATGACGCAGGTCCTCACAGTGGTCCTGACTGACCCTTTGAATTCTGACCTCAGGTATCCTGCAGCAGTTTGCCATCTCAGAGGCAACACTTCTAGCGTGGTCATCGATGGATGGAGAGAGCCCGCGGTCCGGGTCAAACCAGGGCAGCGTGGCTCATCTGAGCGAGGTCAACCAGGATAGCATCACCAGTCGAGGTAAAGGACAACAAATATGACTGCAGCCTAAACTAAAGAATCTAATATTCATTAATTATGTTGTAATATGGTACGTATTTTAAAATAAATGGACAACATGCTATAAGGAAATATGCAATAGGCTACAGAAGAAGTATTAAGATGTTTTACTTAAGTGACTGTAGCATGTTCCACTACAAATTAAAGCCTTGCATTCAAAATTTAACTCGAGTTAACATACAGTAGTAGTGTAACCAAAACAGCAAAATAACCCCCATCAGTGTATATTATTATATTATTATTATATATTATTGTTATATGAATTACTTAGAATGCAGGATTTTATGTTGTAAAAACAAATTTCCACTACTTTGTCTACTAATGGGTCGTCAAATCTAAAACAGTGAGTCATATTTTACTTCATCAGGAGTTAAAATTAGAATATTTTCCTCTGCAAATGCAGCGGAGTAGAAGTAAAAAGTGGCATAAAATGTAAATACTCAAGTAGCGTACAAGTAATGTTGGTTACTGTTGACAACAGGCATACATTAGGATATATTTCATGAAATTATATAATTGTGTATAAAGAATGTATGTTTCAAAGAGTAATTATGATGGTATATGGCGAGCGAGCTTTTAAAAAACACGGTGTTAAATGTTAGTGTTTGTGTAGGCGCAGACAGGCAGCTTGCAGTATACCATGTGTCATGTTGCTTAGTAATGAGAACATACCGTTCCATCTCCTCTCTCCAGGCTGGAGGGTCCCCTCATTAGTAACTTCACATTTTCAAACATGGACTGTTTGAAGGCAAACCCAGCCACTGCATCTGTTTCAACAGTGACTTTGGACATTTAGACATTTACAACAATGTATCCTCCATGCAAACTTTTTCTGCTCATGAGGTTAGAGGTGCAGACAATTATAATGAGTTCTTTGTTGCTGTAAGATATAAACGTCCTCAAGGACATGATGCTTCATTACTGCATTTGCATCAAATTATTTCATCATTTTTAAGCAAATAAACCTTTATCACGGGGTGAAAGTGTGTGGCAGTGTTTACTCCCGGGCCCAATTTATACACTTCTCTTGAGAGAAAGATAAACTGCACAAAATCAAAGCTGTGTCTGCATTATACAGTTTGACACAAGTGATGAATCAACAGTGTAAGGCGTGCCAGAGAGTTTCTGTCATAACACTTATTCAGCCAGTGTGGAGACTTTTCTGCTGAGTTTTTGGATCTGGATCCCTGTCAAACCTATTTACTCTTTTCAGCAGGACAGATCAGAGCCAACATTCAAACTCAGTTAGTCTGCCCCACTCAAACTCTTCTTAACAAATTATCCAAATACAATTAAAAGTGTTCAAATAAAATAAAAATTATGTCAGTATTGTTACTACTAAAGCTTAGCTAAATTACAAGCTAAATTTGCTGGTCATTAGAGGCTGGATATTTCAGCCTATAACATTCGGATGTATTACCAGACCAACAATGATCTGTGTCTGATTTTGTTCCAGTAAAGTTCTGAATTAAAACAAAACAACAGCAGCATCATGTCATGATTTCTCTGCTTTTATATTTCTTGATATTATATCAAGATGATTTAATCTATTGTGCTTTTTGGTCCTGAAACCTGATCAAAACTCTACCACACTGTCTTCCTGTTTTCACCAATTCTACCAGTCTGAAGAGCAGTAATAGCAGCTGCTGCATTTCTCATTTTTTCCAGATCAGATATTGCACCACTCGTCAGCAGAGGTGTGGCCTCACACATACGTCTCCCAGGGCCACTACTGCCTCTCCTCCTCTGATGCCTGGGAGCCGATCAACAACGATCCCTCTGGTGTGGCATCTCCCCCTGCTGGCTCCTACGTTATGGGGACCGACGGGTACGATGGGCAGGCGGCGGCTCACTTCCTGTCGCAGCAACAGCAGCAGCAGTTCAGTCTCCAGCAGCAGAGTCAACTGCAGCAGCTGCAGCAGATCCAACAGATCCAGCACTACCAGCAACAGCAGCTCCTGCAGTATCAGCAACAGCAGGTGACTGATGGAGAGCAGCAACTTTAATTCAAGATTTACATGGTCCTCTTGTGTCTGTAACTCCTGGATTTATGAAACTGTTCTCAAAATCAATTAGATAAACTCGTAAGTCACATTCAGCTTTAAAGAAATTTGGTTTTTCATGGCTCCTTAAGAAATGTTATTTTATAGGTTTGAAAGTTAACTACAATTTCCTAGAAAGTAACTGTTGTTCAACTGTACATTGATAGGAAGGTTTCTATAAAGGACTGTGTAATTTGGTATAAATTATAAGGAAAAGTGTATCTTAATGGGAATTTCCCACTTAAATCATTAATTCATAACCCACAGTCTGTTTTAGTAAATGATTATCCTGTAAAACATGCAAAAACGTAAATCTCTTTCAACAAGGAGTAATCCAATTGAACATATTGCACATATAATCAAAATAAAGTTAAAGAAAATAATAATAATAAATACTGTAAATAATGTAATTGAAGAATTGATTTCCAAATAGATTTCCCAGTGCTCATAAACTACTCACACTGAAAAAGAAATATTGGTTTTAGCTTTAGACTGAAAATTGCAGACAAATTAAAATGATAAGCCTCATACAGTGGCAAGAAAAAGAAAGCGAACCCTTTGGAATGAGCTCCATTTATGTATAAATTTGTCAGCGAATCTGGTCAGATCTTCATCTAAGTTACAATAATGAACAAACACAATCTATTTGAACTAACAACACACAGATCACTGTATTGTTCTTGTCCATATTGAAAACATCACTCAAACATTCAACAGTGTGGGCTGGAAAAAGTATGTGAACTTTGACTTATAAAAAAATAGATAAACATTTTTAGCCTGCTGAAACATGCTTTATAAAAAAGATTGATTTGAAGTTGATTTGCATGAAGCTGAAAAGGTTACAAAGTCATCTCGCAGAGTTTAGATATTCATCGGCCCACAGTCCGATAAACTGTCTATAAATGGAGAAGATTTAGTTCTGTGGCTACTCAGAGGCGGACGCCCAGCTGAGATGGCTCCAGAAGCACCACGCAGGATGCTTAGTAACATAACAAAGAACCTGAGAGTAACGGCTGAGGGCTTGAAGGAATCATTGGAGCTGGTTAACATCTCTGTTCATGAGTCTATGATACACAAATCAGGGCGCATGGTTGCCTGGAGCATGTTGTCCTGCCATGGACACCACGGAGGAAGCCGCTGCTCTCCCAAAAAAAGATCACTGTGCCTCTGACGTTTGGCAAAGAGCACCTTGACCCTCCACAACACTCCTGGGGAAATGCTTTATGGACTCATAAAACTAAGGTTGAATTGTTTAGGGAGAACATGCAGCACTGTATAGTGAGAAAAAAAAGGCGCTGCATACCAACATCAAAACATCATCCCAAAGGTGGAGCATGGTGGAGGGAGCATTCCCAAGTTTATCAGTGTCTGTCCGCCTGCTGAAGCTCAGGAGAGTTTGGGTGATGCAGCAGGGCAAAGACAGATAGATAGAACCCTAAACATCAAAGTTAATCTACTACAGAATGACTTCAAACAAAGAAAATCCACCTGATGGAGTGTCCCAGTCAGAGCCCAGACCATAATCCAGTAGAGATGCTGTGGACTGACCTGAAGAGAGACGCTCACACCAGACATCCTGAGAATATGTCTGAGCTGAAGCAGGTGCAGGGACACAGTGTTTGTCTACATTTCTGACCGGATCAGATCATATTTTATCACCAATCAATACAGAAAACCAAGTAATTCCAAATGGTTCACATACTTTTTCTTGCAACTGTATATAGTGTAAATCAAAAAGAGCTGCTTATCTGCTCAAAGAAAGCAGTATTGATCACTGCACAGTCAGTAAGTGCTACACTGTAAACTATATACTGTGTGCTGGATTGGCTTGCTGAAGTATTTTCTTGGCTGCCAACACCAAGGCTTGTGTTTTATGACAAATGCACGACTCTGTCTTACCTCTGACGTGTTAGTCTGTCATGGAAGATACACTTGAGGTGGAAAACTGGATGCAGACATATCACGTTTCTTCCTGATCACACTCTCATCCTTTGTGTTTCTAGTCTCTGGAGCACAGGCTGCACAGCACCAACCACTCTTTGCAAGCGACGCCCAACAGCACCATCCACAGTCTGGTCCATTCTGTTCACCCTCCGTTGGTTGATCTGTGGAACACAGGGCAGATGGACGCCTATCAGACGGAGGCCGGAGGCTACATGGGTGTGGCGGCGGTGGTGGAGCCGAGCCTTTGCGTCCCCTCTGGAGATGACATGGTGGGAACAGAACACTCCCCACTGCTGGAGCAGCAGGAGGCGGAGGAGGAGGTCAAGGTGAGGTGAAAGTGAGGTTAGATTACATAGAATTACATCTTCAGGGATTAATATTTGAGCTGTGAATGTTTTATTTACCTTCATTATACACGTACTTTCCAAATTATTCCTAGAACTACCAATGATTAGTTGATTAATTGACCCAAAATTAATCAACATCTTTAATGACAGTTTAACTAATTTATCAAGCAATTTATCAAAAAGATTCTCTGTTTCTACCTCAAATGTGAGGATTTGCCGTTTTTCTTTGATCGTTTTTTGTACATTGAATATCTGCTGGCTGGACAACAACAAAATCTGATGACATTACCTCGGGCTCTGAGAAACTGTGTTTGGCAATTTTCACACATTTAATAGAACAATTCAACAAGTAATATAAGAAAATACTATATTAATCAATAAGTAGAGAGAGTAGTCGAAGGCAGCGGAAAGACATTAACTTGCAGTCACCTTCACCTTTAAGATGAAGTGGAGTAATTGCCGCATAAGAACTTGGGAGTTTGCTTCTGACCACCAACCTTTGTAAAGGGACACTCAGCCTGTGAAAGTAGTTGTATGATGTCCTTTGTGGCTCTGGAGGGAGATTTCTAAAATTAAAAAAAAAAAAAAAAAAACCTTGGCTTGACCTTGAGACTTGCCTGTGTTAGAAACTGGAACTGTTGGATTTGAAAGAAGTGGACATTCAGCATGCAGGGGTGATCTAATGAAAGGTGCTTATGAGGTGCATAATGTAGGCATTGTAGGATCCAGTGTTTTTGGAGCTTGACTTATACTAGAAACCAAAGAATCAGAATATTTCTGCCTCTGCTGCTTCAATTGTGACCAGACTTTTTTTTTAAAATCCGTTTCTTGTGAGTCCCTCAGCTTTACAGAAATGCAATGCTAATTTGCACAAAACTAGCAATGTTATACATCCCCTTCATGACGACCATGTTGCTGCAGTTGATTTCCCAAAGACATAGCCTATGAGTGCAAAGCTTTTCAAGCTTCTTGAACACACCAACAAGAAAGAAACTCAGCATGGAAGTTGAGTCTTGACCTTGGAAACAGGTTTTCCATAGCTACCGCAAAGCTATCACATAGCTATCCCTACTCACAACTGCACGACCATATAACTGTGATTTCATTATGAAAACACAACGCACATTAATGGCCACTAAATATTGAATGTAATTACTCATCACATCACATCACATCGTTTCCTGGAAGAGACATCAGCTGATTTAGGACTTGTAGTTAGTAGTTAATTCAAGTCCAGACTATGTTACTCTTATGTTGCGATGGTTAACTAGTCATTAATGGTGCAAAGTCAATGTATGGCTAAACTGCTTCTGTATGTGACATAAGCTGACTGAACCTGCTGCGTGTTTGGCTCTGTCTTTCCTGACCAGGAGGAGGAGGTCACACTGTGCATGGAGCCAGAGTCTGTCACGTTGACTCCGCCCACGCAACAAGGGGATGCCTCTGGAGGCAGTAGTCCCGGGCAACCGCCAGCAGAGCCAATCACAGAGCGGAAGGCCTCCGATGTCACCTCCGGCCTCATTCAGACACTGGAGGAGAAGGAAGAGGAGGAGGAGGAGGGGCAGGCCGCTTCCATGGCAACCAACTGAGTTCCTGGCTGTCAAGAGACTCCTTACTACAAACTGACCAGGAAGTCAGCAAGGAATGAGCGTAATAATACAACATATATCTATTAATCTGTTCCTTTTCAGGTATCACAAACACGACTTTTTGGTTGCGAGACAAATTCTTCAAAACGGTGAGAAACAGATTTGGAAGTGGACTCTTTATGAGACATAAGCTGATGCAACAAAGGACACCTATTTCTTTGTAAGCCTTACATCCCAAAGGTAAAAGAAGAGAGGAGTGAGGACGGAGAAACTGAAGAGGAAGAGGAGGAGGAGCACCAACTGACAGACATTTCCATCAGAGAAATGAAACCACGCTGAGTTGAGGAGGAGGGGAATGGAAACATGCATGCTTTTTATGAAGACAAGCAACTTGACCCTGTCATCGTCTTATAATGATAATGAAAATCTAACATAATAAAACATTATAATAAGAATAATTTTGTAATAAAGCAAAAAAAAAAAAAAAGAACACAAGAAAAATCTATGTATAAGTGTATGATAAGATATAACAGTTTTCCTATGGGAGAACTACTCTGTTTACAGCTGTTACTCAACATATTAGATAGTGTTTAATCAAATTCATTTGATCATCTGTTGCATCAAACACACACAGTATACTTTAAAAATGGCCACCCAGACAATTTCACATAAAATGAAAGTAGGCTCAGATAATGCATTTCAGTGAAATGCAGTTTAACCCTCTAAAATAAAGTCCTCTATGATGTTGTGGCACCAGGACGCCTGAGGCACAACCCAGGGACAGGCCTGTCCCTCTGACTGCACACACTGAACACTGCACAGATAAGGATTGTACTGTAAGATAGTGTGCTTCCTACTCTGTCTCTCTGTATGCATGTTTCTTCAGAATACTATGGAGTACCTGTACTATACAGCACTGTATAGACTTTGCACTGAACCGTAGTATCCCAGGTGGGGCCACAGTGGACCTGCGGTGGGCTTGAGCAGAGAAATAAAGACAGAGCTGCATAAGCAAATCTCCTTTGCACTGATGCAATCCAACAGATCAGAGGTTGCCTTTGGACTGTTGACGTTACCCAGTTCCCACTCTGAAAGCTTTCAGCACCACCGACAACCAAAACCGAGCCACTTAACAACAACACGAACCCTCAGCTGCTTTTTTTCCACAGACGTAGTCGCGATAAATTGAGGATGATAACCACTATCTTGAATGTACTGGAAGACAGAAGGCAGTACATGAGCGTTGTTTTTGATGTCTCCTCGCCGTCCACACGGGAGAGAATAAAACACTTTCTTGAGAAACAAAGATAAACAAGGGAGTCTTTTCAATTGTGTGTTTAAATGGATTCACTGCTGGCTCACCTAGACCATAACTACACAAACACACACACACACACACACACACACACACACATACACACACACACACACACACACACAAATATCTAAATTGTAACCAGCAATAGACAGGCAAAACACTGGCTTCCCAACAGCCCAGTGTCAGCTCTGTCGTATAGATGTAAATAGTCTGAGTATATAAAAAGTCGCCTCTCGCTCACAGTCACAAGTGTTCTAGTACAGTTAATTTCTTTATTTTTTTACACCTCAAAGTCCCACTTTATTTTGGGATTTGCTCACAAGCTCACACTTTAGGCCTGAATTTTGTTTTTCTTACGTGTACCACCACACAAAGACAAATGAAGCGCAGGAATGTTTGTGCTGTAAATGGAGCGATCACTCAAAACTGGAGGGAGTTTTACCCGCTGAATCCATCAGCGAGAGAAACAGGAAGTACAGCAGTAGGTCTGAGTTCACAGGGGGAAAATCGTTCCCCCCTGTGTGTCGCTCAATCAGCCAATCAGGGAACAGGACAGAAGACTAGGACTGAACACTAGAGCCGAATAGATCGGTGTCTTCCTGCTCATTGTGATTACTGTGAAGCAGCTGCCTGGAGTGTGATAGTGATTATAATGATGTTTGAGGAAGCATGTTTTCATTTAGTTTTTCTTTTTCTTTCTTCCTCGCCTGAGGAAAAATGGGTGTTTTCTAGTGCAGAGGGGAGTTAAATGGAGACAGCGAACAAAGTGGACTTCCTGTGCATGTCTCACTGACGAACTTTACAACAATATACAACCACTGTTTTCATCTTTTCCCTGTCGGGGAGCACCTTCTCCTCTCACTTTGATGATTGTGTGAGAACCTTTTAAGATAAAAAAAAAATATATATATATGTATATATATGTATATATATATATATATATATATATATATATATACATATGGTTTATTGACTTGAATGAATTTATTTATTGATTGCTTCTTTATGCAATGTTGGGGACAATGTTTATTTTTCTACTAACTTGTTGAAATCCCTTCCAGTATAAGTTAGAATAGGTGTCATGGTTGTAAAGCAGTCTTGTTTGGATGTGGTTTTGAGCACTTTACACGCTGAAAAACACCTTGGTAAGAGATAAGAGATGGATAGTTTGGCAGCTCTCAAAAATAACAAATCTATCATAATTTTGTTTCACTTCAAGAATCCCGGTTTAGATCATGAAAACAACCTAAGAGGGCTCAAAACTGCAAACAGAATGTCTTTACACAATGGCAGATATTCGTTTATTTATTGAACAATTACTTGGTGGGGAGGAATAATGTGACAGCTTGTACAGAGTCTATAATTTTCATGTGGGTACCAACCCTTCTGGGAGCAGTATCTTTTTCTTTATGAGTCTCGGCTTTAAAGAAATAATGTGGGGGAAGGACTATTGCTTTATATATTCTTCGATGGTAACAACTGTAAAGTTTATTTGGGCTCGACTGTTTGCTAAAAAGAGACATTAGTTCACAAGGAAAGGTGCATGGACTCGATTAAACCAGAAGACACTGCTTCAGTTAGGGTTATTTTATTGCTTTTTCCTTCTTTCTTTTTTTTGGTTTATCAAAATCTCAATGAATGAATAAACTAATAACAAGAAGCCAAATATATTTCTGCGGATGTTAAGGTTTACTGATCACGTCTTTGTTAACCGACTGGTTTGTAGTTGAGTTCCTCTTTTTGTATAATTCTACTGCCATCTTCCAAGGGTTACAGTAACTTGTCTGCAGGCATGATGCTCAAAATCTGCTTCTGGTCCTCTGCCTTTCTCCTTGTCTCTCTCTCTTTCTATCTCTTTGTATCCGTTCTGTATATTTGTGTCTGTCTGTATGTCTGTCTGTCAGTGTACAGTGAGTTGTCTGCTGTCTTATTGGAAGAATCACTGCCTGAAAAAAAAGAAAAAAGAAAAATAACTGAAGTTTTCACATCAACCAAAGGGGATTTGAGGCAATCAGACATGTAACATAGATTTAATTTGGCAGTGTGTGGCAAAAAAATTAACCGCTGTATAAAACGCTGTATAAAATTGGATGGCTTCTGTAAAAGTCTGTATTAAATTGGGTTTATTTGTTTGAAATGAGGCAGTGTGGCTGGTGAAACCAGTGTACTCTCGTAACACTCACACCTATGCATGCTTGTTGGACGGCTGTCACAGGATGGTTCTTCCACGTGGTTCCCCCTCTCTCTCTCCTCTTCTGTCAACAACTCTCTTGTTTCTTCCTGTTTCTCTTCCTTTCCCCTCTTTTTCCTGCACGACAGAACCTCCCACGCCCCCACCAGCTCCTTTACCTGTCTCCTCTTCTTTTCCTCCGGTGGAGAAAGAGCAAATAAACAAACCAACAAATGGCATTTCTTGTGCATACGTGTGGATATCTTTTCACAGAGAGTAAATAATTAGATTCTCACACATTCACCCCTTGCTCTGTAGAACCTCAGCACATGTGATATGTCTTTTTTTAAACGTTTGGCAGCAGCCAGTGTCTCAGGCCAGCTCATTGGTGCTTGTCAGGCAAAACAGCCATCACCAAGGAACTGGCAGCAGTGTAATCCAGCCAGTCATGCTCTTCCAAAAACATTCCTCTCCAGTCCTTATCAGTACTATTTTATGCCAGGAGAATATTAATGACAAATTCTCACAAACAGGACTTCTCTATAGGGACCAGCTGCTTATTTGTTCAAGCTCACATAGAAATCAGAGCCTGAAACGCACTTGATCTTCGCAGCACAAACATGATTATAATTTGATATTCCCTTTTCAAGCCTGAACGCTGGAATGCTATCACTAACATGGTGATATTAACCACGCTAATGGCGTGTCTGACGGTCAGTAGAAAACATTGTTCCAGACTGAAATATCTCAAAAACTATTTGATGGATTTTCATGAAGTCTGGTAGTTATTCTTCTCCCAACTCGAGGTGAATTTTAATAACTTTGGTGAGCTCCTGACTTTTCACGCCACCATCAGGTCAAACAATGTAACTAGTTGTTTACAACTTAGTGGGAGTTGGTGAAGGTGCGTTGCTTCCAGAAAGGCCTCTTTTAATTTTAAGGCTTATCAGATGCCAAAACAGTGCACTGTGGTTTATGTTTACAGAGATAGGATTTTACAAGTCTAGACAGTGTTCAAACTAGCAGCTATTCTATTTAGTAACAGTCGCCAGCTGAACAGTAGAAATACAGCGTTCATGTTACAAAGTAATCTATCAGGAATGTGCATTTGCATGCGGTCAAGTGTGGTCAAGCAACTGAGCCAGGTTTAAATAAGACCCTGTGTTTTTGTCACACAGCGCTAAAGTCAGTCTGAACTTAGCTCCTTGCAAAGCTAACGACATTCCCATCAGCCTCAGCTTTACTTTATGTTAGTGCTAAATAGCAAATGTTAGCATGCTAACATACTAAACTATTATCGTGAACGTGGTAAACATTATATCTGCTAAACACCAGCATGTTAGCACGATGACTTAAGCATTTAACTCAAATCACCAGCTTCACAGAGTAGCTAGCATGGCTGCAGCATTTCTTCTAATCATTTTTTATGATTGTAAATAACTAAAATAAGCTAGTGGACAAATTTAATGTTTATTATGTTTAAAAATTACAGACTGGTGTAAGTGATTTGAATATTTACCATACAGCAAATATATGATAAATGTAAGTTATAATTTAAAATTAACTTCAATCAGTAAATGCATGATCTCTTAGACCTCTAGGTCAAATTAATTAAGTCTTTGTCATTCATTTCATTATCATACAATTCATTGCTGTCAGTTAATTTGTCTCAAAGGGAGTTAATGACATGACCAGACATCGATACATGTGATGTACAGTTACATTAAACATTTCCAAGATATGGATGGACACTGAATATAATGTTTGTCTGTCTGCAGTTCAAAAGACACAGGAAGGCACCTGAGATTCTGACGAGTGAAAAAGTGAGATTGTTGTAAGAGTAGAAAAAATATTCTTGTGTACTACAAGTTTCAGGAGCTTTGTGTATACCAGTTTGTCCTGCTTGCTGAGAGCTGAATGTCTGTGAGGGCTGCAGGTCGGCCCGACTCCTCCACCCAGACAGCAGCTCTGTCTCTCGGGAAAAGGAGTGAAATCAGAAGAAGGTAAAAGTCTTTTCTCTTAAACCCAGTCCTCCTATATGGGCTCATCTGACTCCGAACTCTCTCTGTCCTCCTGCAGGGAGGATAGCGTGAGGACAGGGCTGGTGGGTAACACAGGGGAGGCAGGGGGTGAAGGTGAGGTAGGGGAGGAGGTAGAAGGGGACGCCAGCTCCTGAGGAGCGCCATCACCTCCTCTTGTGGTGGTGGTGGAGCTGCCAAGAGAGCTCCCCAAGCTGCTGGGGGAGGAGGCAGCAGTGTCACACCCGGCAGCTCCCCTGGAAGATGACGCTTTCCCTCGGCAATCCTCTTTGGACTCCTTCCTCACCAGCTCCCCCTCATGTCTGCTCCCCTCCCCCCACAGGTCTCTGTCCCGAGTGGGGGAGGAAGGGGTAGATGAGGGAGGCTGGTGCTTCTTGGCTTTCCTGCTGGCGTCTCTGAAGCTGGCGAGAGGGGGACGAAGCCTCACCCCGCTACGAGTTGAGCCCTCTATAGCCTTCTGTAACTGTTAGAAGAGAGGAGGAGGTTGAAATAGCCACAGAGGCAAACCATAAAGCACAGAAACATGTGTTGAAGTGACAATGCAGGATTACTAAAGTGAGCATCGAGGGAGCTGAGTTGTGAGGGCGGTGAATGGAATAACCGCATGAATCAGAGCATGAAGCATGATGCACCCTGTGACAGAACAACGGCCCACAACGAGATCACCACAGCTCGCTGTCACGCCGCATTACAGGATCAAACTGAGGGAGGTGACAAAAAACATGCTGATAAAGAAAAAACAAAGAGAACCTTTACCTCCTTCAGCGCCACGACACCCACCAGCTTTCCAATACTGGTGACATAGGCATGACTGAGACCCAGCAGAGAGAACAGAGTGTGGGTCTGAGTAATGACAGAGAGAAGGACATAATCCAGTCAGTGTTCAATGTATTGTGCGGTGACAGTATTCTGCTTGCATGGCTGCACTGTTCCTCGTAAACAATTTCTCTGCAAGTATAAGAGGAAATATATGGCATGCCAACAAAACATGAGTCACAGCATAAATTTCAAGATGCAGGAACCAAAGCTTTATGGTCATATGAGCAGAGAACAAGCTGCACTGAGCCGTACAATAAAATTCTATGTTTTTTATTTTCCTCGCTGTCCTCACTTGCTAATCATGAGAAATTGGAAAAAAAACAAACAAACAATAAAACAACAATGTAAAAGAGTATTCCACTTCCATATTCCAATGTTAGAAGTCTTGAGTCCCCAACCTCAAGACTAATAAGAGTTTTAAAAATGATTTATGTGCCGGCTTATTTTATACTTGTATGTAGTACGTTTTGTGCAGGTCTGCACAATGTGCTGTTGAGACTTGGGAGATGTCACGTCAGCTCCTCTTCGAGCCTCTATGTTTACCCATAACACCCTTGTTGGCGTAGCCATGTCATTTACAAATACCTTCAGGGAAACATAATTCAGGATGTCACATCTTGACTTTAATTGTGTAGTATGACTCACGTTCCAAATTCATTGGATCCTACATTTCCCATGATACAACTTCACAGAAGACATTATTTCAGAGGCTGAAACTGATGTTCTTCAAAACACTGAATTAAGAGTGTTAGAACAGAAGAATACAAAGAAGAACTTAGAAAAGTTTGAGAATAAAAATAAATAAGTGTAAAAGTAAAAATTAACTTTTCTTCTGTGCTTTAAAGGAATAGTTTGACATTTGGGAAATACTTTCATTTGCTTTTTTGCCAAATCTAGATGAGAAGATACTGTTCTCATGTCTGTATGGTAAATATGAAACTACAGCCAGGAGCCATTTGACTTAGCTTAGCATAAAGACTAGAAACAGGGGGAAGCAGCTAGCCTGACTCTGTCCGAGGGCAACAGAATCCATCTACCAGCACCTCTAAGTGAGTATTCACACCCAAAACAGTATATGGGGCTGCACTGGTTGGGTCATGTTTTTTAAAGTACCAGTGAGACATGAAATAAAATCCAAGAAGTCCAGCTGTAACAGAGCAACAGATTATTGCATTTAAGGGGGTATAAGACACCTAAACTCTGCTAAATGGTTTGTAATACTCACAGACAGGATTTTACAACTCTGTAAAGCTATCACAGTGACAAATGTTTTATCTTTTCTCACAGCAATTGCGAGGTAAACAATAGAAATACTCCATTCACGTTATAAAGAGATCTACCAGGAATGTGGCCCTGCACCTACAGTATTTAATTTGCCAATCAAATACATGCAGCAAGTCTGGTTCACCTATTTTGCTGTACCACCCAGCATAGTTTTGCTGAATCGCACCCCCTGCTGTGTCGACAGGCGGGGCCAAGTCACTAATTAGCATATTTTATCTTGTCTTTGTAAAATCTGTACAAAAAATAAAGTGCAAAAACATAGCATACTTCCCAAAATGTCAAACTACTTCCTTAAAATTTGCTGCTTGTAAATATGAAACTATAATTGTGCATGACTATCAGTGTCAATGACTATCAGTGAATCAGTGTCTGTACATGGATCTTTGTATGCGGTGACGCGTCACTCAGGTGCTGCTGTGGTCACCTTGTGTAAAGACGTTCTTTCCACCAGCTGAAATGGGGAGGGATCAATACGAATCTGCTCCATGTCTATTGGCTTGTCCAGCTCTGCCTCTTCCCAGGCTTTGATCTGCATCAGCCAATCACAAGAAAGTGAGACAGACTCAGAGTGTACAGAGTTTCAAGTGATTGATCTGGATGGTTTGATTATCTCATTGTTTGCTGTGTGGATGCTGAATCAATAGTGTACGGTACCTCCTCTGGTGCCATGGTGTCAGTCAGCGGAGGGGGTGCGGTGTCCTGAGGAAAGAGAGGGACAGAATGCAGATGCAGATGATGATAAGATGCCCCCTAGTGGTTTTATTGCACCGCAAAAACATGTCAGCTCCTCTATGTTTGCATCATGTCATGCTCCTCCCTTCAGATTAGCGAGGTTGGCTCAGGCTGCCATGTTGGACTGACGCCCCTGTCTGAGCTGTCACTGCCAACTCGACAGCAGATCTCTGATGCACTGCTCCTTCGAGCATTTGGGGTCAAAGTGATGAGTATGTGTGAGGCTGATCTTAGCGGCGTACCTGGGTTTCAGTCTGGCCTGATGAAGACGTGGAGGAGAAGAGTCTCTGAAGGGTCCTCCTGACAGATGGCAGCTTGCGCTTGTCTGAGGACATGGTATGGCAACACATGTAAGTGGAGACAGGAAGTGACATTTGACGGGTGATCTTGTCTTTTTGTGCAGTGGAAGTGCCATGTTACCTGAGCCTGTGTGGTTGGTGGAGGTCTCCTGAGGTTTGGGGGACTGCATGGGCCCATTGCATTCTTCCTGAACTGGAGCAGTCTGATGGCACAACATAATCAGTAACTGTATAGAGAAATGCTGAAAGTAACAAACTTTCCACTCACAACATCCATCTGTGAAGCAATTTATGATTTGTGTTTTCCACCTTGTCTGCACTCTCCTCTCCGCCTTCCTCATCCACGAAGGTGAAGGACTCCCAGCTGACTTTGGAGCCCTGGCCCGGTGAACTCTGACCTCTTTCAAAGACTCGCCTCTCTGGTGAGAGCCACCAGTCAAAGACGGCCTGGAGCTCTGTTCTCTCGATGGAGCCCAGAAGAATCATGGATTCTGGAGAGGGAAGTGTTAAAAGAACAGTCAGACATTTGGGGAAGTTATTTCCTCCGCCACAGAGGTTATGTTTTCACCCATGTCTGTTTATTAGTCTGCAGAATTACACAAAATGTGCTCAACCAATTTGCACAGATCTTGATTGAGGGATGGGACATGGGCCAGGAAAGAACCCATTAAAGTTTGGGGCAGATCCGGATCATTTGCTGTGAATTTGGATTTTTTTCTCCAAAGTCTGGTGTATATTGTTTTACATTAGCCTTGGCGGAGGTTTGCGCTCTCTGAGTGCCCTTCTAGTTTAATTAGCTTTCTGGCGAGGGTTAGATGAGAAAATTGATGTTACTCTCAAGGCAAGGCAGGCAAGGCAAGTTTATATACAAAAGCACATTTCATACACAGAGGCAATTCAAAGTGTTTTACATAAAATATATAAATGAACATTACATAGAAAAATTAAAAAAGATAAATGCATAAAAACAATAAAAACAATAAAATACATATAAAGTCACAGTGCATATCTGTTTGGTAAATAAGATGTTAGGATCAGAATGTGGTTAGCTTAGCTTTGCATAAAGACTGAAAACAGGAGGAAACAGCTTGTTTGGCTCTTTCCAATGTTAACAAAATCTGCCTGCCAGCACCTCTGGGTCCCTAATGAAACCATTATATCTGATTTCTTTGAGTGGGACTATTTCTTGGTTGCAAGCAGTGACTTACTGGAGACTGTAATATATTAGCTGTCTTTATTCTAAGCTAAGTTAGCTTCTTGTGGCTATAGCTTCATATTTACCATACAGACATAAGAGTGTCATTGATCTTCTCATCTAACTCTGCAAGAAAGCAAATATGTATATTTTCCAAAATGTTGCACTATTCCTTTAAAAATAAACATATGATATGACACGATGACACTGAGTAAAGGTGATTTAGCCTCAAATCTATGGAGAAGACACAAATAAAGGACTTAAAATTTAAGACTTTTTACTAACTTGGCCTATTCCTATACCATTAAGCCTCTATAAGCAAGACAGAAGCAACCATTATGATAATGTAAGTTGCTCTACCTTTAGAGTCAACCAGCGGGATGGTTTTCAGGGTCGTGGTCTCTAGCAGATGGTTCAGTTCCCGAAAAGTGGATTGAGAAGACAAGAACTTCACTTTGCGCACCATGATGTCTTCCACAAAGATGTTATACTTGCTGGGGAGGCAGAGATATTACAATAATTACCATTTGTCTTACAATGGCAGCTATATGGAAAACATACACGCAGAAAACAATTGCTGCAAACTTTACCTGATGTGCCCGAGGGCCAGCTCAGGCAGGTAGGGCAGCTTCTTCACCTGGATGATGGAGTCATAGAGAGAAGGCTGCAGACCCTGGGCCACCATGTTCGCTAGGATGACCGCCACCATCATAGGTAAGATGTGGGATATTTGACCGGTCAGCTCGAAGCAGATTACTGCTGTGGAAACTGTGTGCGTGACGGCTCCCGTCATCGCCGCTGCGCCTGGTAAAAAAGCAGACGGGAGGATAAAGAATATGTGCTAAGGGTGAAGTATGATTAGACTGTTTCATTATTACCTCATCTCATTCTGACACTGAGCCAAACATCAAATTCAATGGGTTTTCAATGAATTTAAAGGTTTAATTTGTGGTAATTCAAATGTTTTTGAGTAGGGTAAGAGAGTCATATTCAAAATTACACAGCACAGGCCTCATTTTGGCCAAAGCAAAGTAAAAATGGCCGGATTTTCCCATAACCGCTACTGTATGTACAGTATATCAACATATTTACAGGAAAGAAAGAGGACCAGAAAGATGAATTTAGGTGCCATATTATATGTGGGAAATTAAACACATTCAAACACGGTTTCATTCTTATCAAATCTGCAACTCTTCAGTAAGTCTTCAGGGCATTGGGAACCTGAATACAGCACTAAGGATAGCAGACTGACCAATGACAGCGTAACCTCCTGGCAGGATGCGGTAGACTATCCCATCAAACAGGATTCCATTTGGGAATAGAGTGGCCATGATCTCTCCTACAAGGCGACCGAAAGCAGCTCCTTGAGGACAGAGATAAGGGACGCTGGTAAAGACAAATTGAACTGAAGCTCAGCAGGAGATACTGCACTCGCATTACAAAATCCTCTTACCTAGTATGAACACTGGCATGAAGGCGCCCGAGGGGATGGGCATTGTGGTGGAAACTGCTGACATCCAGAACTGCAACACAAAAACAGGATCAAGGTAGGATCGAGACCAGTCCCAGAGGTTTTTCATGCTATCACATGCTATTTCAAGGCAGTACCGACTGTGCACAGCAAGGGGGAGGGAGAGTTACCTTCATGATGAAGAAGAGGAGGAGGATGATGAAGACGCTGACACGAGGATGCAGCCAAGCAGAGGAGCGGCCCAGGCCGGGTGGAGCAGGAGATCCTGAGATTTTGGTCCAGGTGAAATTATCAAACAGGGAGTTGATACACTCTCTGGGCATCAGCTGCCAGAGGGAACAGAAACATGATTCCTCTTTTAAAAATACAGTTGTGTGAACATCAACAGATTCAGTGGATGATCCAATTCTGCAGATTGGATTAAAGCTCTTAAAAATTAAAATTGCCTTCTGAAAATTTCAAAGAGGGAAATTCAGACAACATGAATTCAGAAAGATGGTTTTCAAAGTAAAATATTTCAATTTTGTAAATTCAGTGGCATTTCACTTTCCACATTAAGAGATTCAGATGTGTTATGCTAGTCGCGGCTAATGTAGCATCGAGCCGCTAGTCTCAGGCAGAGACGATGGGCGAGCAACAGAGGTCTGGTAACCTCACTTCTTTCTAAACCCACTCCCACAGATTTTTTTCATTTTCAAATGTAGTCTTCAGACCCAGCCAACACTGTTACCAGACCTCTGTCAGACTTCACGTGAAGATAAAAAAGACTTGTAAACAGACTTTGATGTGTAAAATCGGTGGAGTTCCCCTTTAAAATTCAAAGGATCGCAGCTTTTCTTTTGTGTCTATATATAGCTTAACATGACAAAACCACACAACATAGACTCCACTGACCTCCTTTTACAGTACCATAAATATGAATGAACACACACCAAAAAGAAGTCAGAGAGCATGAGACTGATTCTGTCTAACCTCTCCAGCCATGAACTGTCCAAATCCAGGAGGAAACGTCAAGGTGGCGATGATCAGTGTCACTGCACCTGGATAGATTAATCGACTGAGGGCACAAACGAACACAAACATACACACAGTCATTAAAAGGAAGCACAGAAACCTGCAACAACAAACGTATGCGCGAAACAGTAATGAACGTCTGACTGTGAGTGTGTAACAGCACTGATTGTACAGCTCTCCTGGTGCTGCTGCTCGCCTCTGTCTAATGGTGAAGACTAATGTTCCCTGACTGTTGAGTCTCCGAGGATAAGTGAATCTCCCCGTTGAGTGAATAACTGGCTGAAAGGTTGTTAAGGCTTTGCTGCTGTCCTGGCCAGTGTTGTGAGACTGATGAGCTCGGAGAGTGGAGCTGAGATACATTAACAGGAACCAGATTTGAACGTGCAAAACGTTTGACTTCCCTGGAACAGCATCTGCGACCAGAATCACAGAGGTTTAACAGCCCGGTGCTGCATTAATCCACAGCAGCAGCGAGTGAGTGCACACTCACTGTTTGTGTGTGGGTGTGTTTGTGTGTTGGGATCTCACTGTTTGGTAAGGAAGCGTGTGAGAGCTGTCGGTCTTCTCATGAAGAGAACCACCTGTCTGTTCAGGTAGACGAAGAACGCCCCCAAGAAGCCACATGAGATCCTACAACATGAAGCAGACACTTTGTTCAATCCTTGAGCACAAGAATAGTGAGAAGAAGTTTATATCTTAACTATTACATATGGACACGACATGCATAGGAAAGAATTGGTATGATGACTGTATGTACTATAGCAGACCAAAAAAAGTACTAAAAATACTAAACTGACCCATTTTCCATTTTATTTTAAGCTACAAAACAATAATAAATTATGGCAAAAAAAAAAAAAAAACTTGGGTTGCACACGTCCTAACAAATATCCTCACCCTATTATCGCAAACGCAGGCAGCTCCTGCAGGTCAAAGGGGAAATCCATCCTGAAGTTAGTTTTGAAGAGAGCTGTGATTGTGACTGAGTGAGACAGAAAAACAAATATTAAAAATTATCTTTTTATAAACCCAAATAAATATGTGATTTCTAATCAGTCTACTTGAAATTTCCAACATTTCTCAGTGTGTCGAGTTTGAGTCATTTGCATTTGTTAAAATCAAACAAAGGACATTAAAAGTGTAGGAAGAGTTCATTTCCTTTACCTAAATAATATTTAACAATATCCACTTGTCCAATAAGGCAAAACATAAAAATAACAAAACCTGATTTTTGGCTATTTGGGAGCAGTGAAACAAGCTGTAAACTCATTTGGAGTCAAGTATGTCCAGTTGAATGTAAGACCACTTTCCTTTTTATCTTTGTTTCTGTCTCCACCATCTCCTGAGGGAAAGCCTTAGCTGCTA